TTTTTTTCTTCTTCTTCTTCTTTTTTTTACCCTTCATTTCTTTCTCATCAGAAACTATAAATGAACTAAGTGACTTGTTTGTTTTATATTCTACAGATACTATAAGCATTATCAATCAGTATGATTTCCTTCAATTGGTTTTTATTGATATTTTGTACTGTTGTATATTCTCAAAGTATATTAGTTATTGATAATTTATTTTTCTAATTATAATCATATTTATATATTTATTACAGAATGTTCCGATTATTATACATGTCAATTAGAATTATATGATCGAACTCTAAATAATTCACGTCCATCTATACGTCCAATAAAAAGTGATTCAGAAAAAATTAATGTTCGTTTAGGATTTTCATTGATTCGACTTGTTTCTGTAGTATGTTAATTGAGTTTTTCTTTTAAATCAGAAAAAATAGACAAATAATGTTTTTTTTTTAGAAAGAAGAAGATTCATTATTTACAATTCGTGCACATTTAAATCAAGTAAATAAAAAAATTATATATATTTAATAATTACAAATACTTTGATAGACTTGGAATGCTCCAATACTCGGTTGGAATTTAACAGCATATTCAAATGTTCGACATTTTCGTGTTCCTGCACATTCCATTTGGACACCAAAAATAGAATTAGTTAATCCGTATGAATTGCTGTTTTAATTTGACTAATTTTATATATAGATCTTATTTAGAAGTACAGTAATCGATACCGAAGCAAATCATTTTATTAATATTAATTCTGATGGTCTTTGTGAATTATCTTATTCAACTCTTCTTACAATTCCATGTAATTTTGATCTAAATAGTTTTCCATTTGATCAACAAACATGTACATTCAAAGTAATAAATATATTTCGAATATAATTATTCTAACTTGTTCTATAGATGGGCTCAGCACTTTATGATATAAATGAAGTAGCAATAACACAAGCTATTGATTTTGTGATTGATGAACCAGGTTTAATGCCAAATGGTTATTATTTTGGATCACATACAGTTGAACAAAAACCGACATTTTTTGCTGGTTTTGCTAGAACTTATGATCAAATAATTATGAATTTTATGATTCATCGACGTTCAACATACTTTCTTCGACTAATTAATTGGCCAAGTTCAATTCTTATACTTTTAACATTAACAATTTTTCTTCTTCCACCATCAGCATCGGAGAGAATTATTTATGGTAAATATATATATTTTTCCTTTGAATAAATAAAATAAAAAGTTTATTTATTCTGTCTCAGGTATATTAATACTTATATGTCAATTTATTTTATTAACAATTTTTGCTTTCTACGTTCCAAAACGACTTGGTTCAACATGGCCATGGATGGGACGCACTATTTTCTATGATATATGTTTAACTGCCATGACATTAGTATTTTCAGTATTCGTTCGATTACTATCCGATGGAAAACATTATTCATCAGAAAGACCGCCAGCTAGAATACGTAGTGTATGTAGATAGAAGAAGTAGATGTTTTTTCTTAGTATGACTAATATTAATTTTTAGTTTGTCTTTGGTTATTTAACAAAATTAATTGGTTTCAAACGGTTATCATATGCAACTTTAATTGCAAACCGTGAAAAGTGTGTTTTTTTGTATTGTTTATATATTTAAATTCATTTTTTTTCAATAGTGAATATGATACAAATGATACAGCAACCAATGATTCTGTGATGGAACCATTAACATCAGTTACAAATAATTCAACAACAGCCGATTCTCGTAATCAATCATCGAATATAATAAGTCGTGATGTTAGTTCAATAAAACAAAAATTGAATCAATTTTCTAATGAACATAATATTCAACAAGAATGGATTCTTCTTGCTCATATTTTCAATCGTTTATGTTTTATCATTTATTTATTTTTTTTCTCATTTTCAATTGGACATCATTTATTTTATACATAATAAAAAAATAATTTTTTTTTTCGAAATAAAAACATGCTTATATGGATTATCGATATTTTTTTGTCGTAACGCATGATTTATTTGTCTTATTGATTTCGTTTTTTTTCTACCTATTCATACACGTGTAATACTGTCAATTGATTGAAGTTAATGATATGGAAATAAGCATAAAAAGAATGTACGTGTGAATGATCAGGAAACACAATCAACGAAGAAAAAAATCGACGACGATCAAGGTATACTTATATCTGTCTGCCTATTCCGACAAAACCTTCAAATCTTATTAAAATATTCTTTTCATTTAGTTTTTATATAATAATGGGTTGTTGTGGGTCAACAAAGAAGAAAAATAATACAGTAGAACATTCTCCTAGTTCATTACCAGTAAATCGTGAAATAATGCCTGAGCTTTCAGATAGTGTCATTGATGATTTATTAACGAAAACAAAATTTTCAAAACAAGAAATACTGGATTGGTGGTATGGTTTTTTAACTGATTGCCCATCTGGATTATTAGATAAAAAGAAATTTATTGAAGTTTATCAATATAGATATCCAAATGGAAAAGCAAAAAAATTTTGTGATCATGTTTTTCGAACATTTAATCCAGATAAGAAAACTCATGCGATTGATTTTGAACGTTTTATGTGTGTAATTGATATAACTTTAAATGGAAGTACGGATGAGAAACTTGAATGGGCATTTACAATGTATGATATTAATGGTGATCAACGTATATCAAAACATGAAATGTCATGTGTTGTTGAATCAATGTTTGATTTATTAGGTAAAGATAGAAAAGGAGGCAATGATCCACGAAGACATGTTGATGAAATATTTTCACAAATTGATTCGAATCATGATAATTATGTTAGCAAAGACGAATTCTTATCAGGATGTAAAGCAGATGAAAAAATTCGAACAATTCTAGCACCACAATACTGATAATATCATACTTTTCTTTTCATTTATTTGTTACAAAAAAAAACAAGAAGAAGAAGAAGAAGAAGAAAGTTTATTTTTTTTCTTCTTCTTTTTGTTTCGATGAGACTTGCTAATTGTAAGCAAAAGAAAAAAGATAAATATATGAATATTTGTTTTTTTTTGTTGAGTTATTTATATATATATATATCGAGTTAATGATGATTCAAAATAAAAAAGGTATTTACGTCATGTATATAAATACTTTATTAATGACTACTACAAGAAAGGTATTTATTTTACTTCAGTAATATCAAAGTTTAAATTAATTTTATATGAACTCGCTTCAATCACTAGAAGTGTAATATATTCATAGATAATGTGCTTTCTATATTAGGAAATCAATAAAAACTTATTGCGCTTCCAGAATATAACGTATATAATATCATAGTGATGATAGTTCTTACGAAATGAATCTGAGAAAGACACATGGCATAATGAATGAAACTTTGTAGTCAATATAGTAAGATATTGATTATCAGTCTCATAAATTCACTGATTACTATCTCATGTAATGTATGCTGATGTAAAAGAAGCTTTTCATTTAAAATTAATAATCATATATGGATAATATTACGAGCTATTTTAAATCAAAAATAGATGAAAGACTTTTGTTTATTCTTCGATTAAGAAAATATATTTTCATCTGATAATAATACATATTTAACCAAGTGAATGCTATTGAATTTTATTATTCAATAAATATAATAAACTCTTTACGTATATTATTGGTTCAAACTTTCTAAGGTCTTGATTACTAACTACTTTATTGGTATGTCGACTAATTACAAATATAAATTGTATACAAGAGCATATTTAGAGAAGAGGATAATAAATAATTTTACTATTACCAAGACTACTATTCTTGCTACTTTCTTCAAAAGAGAATAATTGTTTGTATATTAAAAACATTTTCCATATCATTTCAAACAATTTCATGCTGATAAATAAAATAAAGCAATAGTTCAGATGGGGCGTGCAGAATATGCCCTTCTGCGGGAATGCGCGTTCGGGGAAATTTTTGAACAATTATTTACTTCGAAATTTTTTCTATCAGGAAGTAGTAAGGAATTCCTTTTAAATGAAATATTATTTTATACATAAATGATATGATATATTCATTAGGAGAGAATATATTTAACAGATCGCAGTCTCTTCTCTCTTCTCATTTCTTTAACAGAAATATTTAAAAAAAACAGTTCTTTTACTTGAATACTGAGGGGAAATTTTTCGTTTCGACAGAAGATTCTGCACTTCCGAATGACGATCAGGTTAAAATCATTCGAGAATCAAGCGAGTTCATTCGACGAGCGTTATATATTTTATTTCTTTCAGAAAACGATCAGCGAATTCGAAGGATGAGTACTACTTGTGATTCTATATTGTTTAGAAAATCTTGCCATTTGAAAAGTCATTTAGTTTGGACGAAATCTAGATTATGGTAGCTACTCACATCTACGTCATCAAGATGGTGTAAATTGGATAATTTGGTTAATCGTATCCTGGCAAGTTGTCTCATTTTTTCGACGGAGTGGATAAAATGGTGCTCGAATAACATGTTCACGATGCACAGCATGGGTGTGGGTGTGGGTAAGGTTCTTTTCGTTCATCCACATTCACACTCACACCCTCAAGTGAGTTATACTACATTAGTCTTGAACATAACAGATCATATCGTCAAGAAAATAGAACTAGCTTCAGGAAATGCAATATAAGTAAAATAATCAAATCTAAGCTAATAAGAATTAATGAAAACGATACAAGTTGACAGTGAGCACAGAAAAGAATAGCTGTAATATAATGAAAAATTAACCTGAAGAGATGTTACAAGGAGTGATAGCATGATATAGGTAATGTATGAGTTACAGTTGTAATTGGACAACATCTAGACGTATGGAACGATAGTGAATTTGAAGATACAGTGGAACAGTCGATGTGCTTGCAGATTGATAATTTGAAAATGTTTGATTCAATCCACGTTATGGTCAAGAATCTCTTCTTAAATGTCTGTTATATATATCGAATCATATTCAGTGACCCATCTGTGGTGTGAGCGATTATATGTAATCAGGCACATCCATCGCACGGTGACTCAGTCACTTCATCAGCCATGTAACTTACCAAAACATCCTCACATAAATAATTTTTCAATTGTTCTCCAAGATTTCTGTCTGGAACGGATATCTTAACAGGTTCCTTACTACCATATAACGTGATAGTATCTTCACTAACACTGATACCATTGCCCTGTCGAACTAAAACTGTTTTGATAATGGGACGCCAAAATAAAATTTTCGTCTTCAGAAAAGCTTTGACGATATTGTTTGCGGAGACTTCGTCCATCAGCTTCCAGTTGAACCGATCAATACACAACAAAAGTTCCTCTACAGTACAGCTATCAAAACTAACCATACACGACAAAGAACACAATGTCTTTTCACTCATTTTGATCGCAGTATCTTGCATCTCAGGACTAGCATCACTCCATCCCAGTAATAATCTTCGCATCACTTTATTCGTTGCCACTTTATTATTCATTTTACCCAGAGATTCACACACTTGCATTTTGACGCAGTCATTCGTACCTTTCAGCGCAGTAATGAGCATCTTCGCCAATTCATCAGTAGTTTCATTTTTGTCAGATTTTCTGGAAGTCATATGCGTATTGCATTGAATGTCATCGCTTCCATTCCCAAGTGCATTGATTATGCTATTAATCACTTCAATCGTTGCTACGTTTTTGCCATATTCATTGAGAGCTACACGCGCATTATTTCTGACGTCATCAGACGTATCTCCAAGCGCATTAATAAGCCCATTGAGAATTTTGGGATTTACTAATTCGGCACCCATTTTTCCGAGAGTTAGACACGCCTTAGATCTCACATCGGAGTTGCTATTTTCAAGTACATAAACAAGTCCATCAAAAATTTCATCGGTTGCTGCCCTTTTGCCCAGATTTCCAAGAGTTTCACACGCTTTACATTTCATATCATCATTCCAATCCGTCAGTGCACTAATCAGTTTACTAAGCACCTCACGGGTTGCTGCTTTTTCACCTACTGCACAGAGAACATCACATGCAATCTCTTTGGTATAAAAATCCGAACACTCCAGTACACTGAGTAGTCCAATCATCAGTTCATCGGTTGCTTTTTGTCCATGAATTTTGCTGAGAATCACACACGCATTGCGTCGGATCTCATCGTTCCTATTTCTAAGCGCCCTAGTCACTCTATTAACTACTTTACCGCATGGTCTTTGGTTACCAACTTTCAAGAGAACTATGCGTGCATTGTATTTGATATCATCATTCTTATCACCAAGTGCACTAATAAGTGCATTGATCAGGTCATCCGTTGCTCCATTCCCACTAATTTTTGTGAGGATTTCACACGCTGTTTCTGCGACTGGATAATATAGATCCCCGAGTGCACTGATTAGTTCACTAATTAATTCACTAATCAGTTCATTGGTTCCTGATATTGCCCCAACTTTTTCGAGGCCTATACACGCTTCGTACCTGACTGTACGATTCTTATCCAAAAGTGCACTGAGAAGTCCATTGATCACTTTATTACTTGGCGATTTCACTCCAATTTTGCTAATAGCTTCACATGCCCAGACTCTGACTTGGGAGTTCGTATCATTAAGGATGCCGACGAGCTTCATAATCACATAATCCATTGTATTTGGTTCCATAATTTTTTCGAGAACTTCACACGCTCGCTGCCTCACATCAGAATTCGTATCAAGAAGCGCAACGATGAGTGCATTAATTACTGTGTTACTTGGCGATTGCCCAACAACTTTGCTAAGAGCTTCACACGCCTGGCACTTAACGCGAGAATCACTATCGCGAAGTGTACGTGTGAGTGCATGAATCATTTCATCCTTTCTTCCTCTTTCATCAATTTTGGCTAGACCTTCCCACGCTTGGTTCCTGA